GCCAAAGGCATAGACTCCATTATAGAAGGTCTTAAAGCCTTCATCGAATGGAAATGAGCATGCTCGAGTGATCTCTTGGTGTTCATGAAGTGCCACAACAACACAAACACGTCCTTAGGATCCCAGGCTATGTACACTATCTTGCAACTTGAAATCTTGATGGATTTTGGTAACAATGAGTCGGGGATATGGGTTTGGAAAAGCCTTGAAAAGGCCATGTTTGGCAGATCAATGTTTTCATTTTTTTTTTTTTTTGGGTAAACCTATAAAGAAGATCGAAGGGCCAAGAGAAGAAGATCGAGCACATCGAGGACAAGGTCAAGGTTCATAGGTCCACGATTTGCACACCAAAGCGACGGATCTGAGTTTCAAGGTTACAGATATGAAACACCATTGATGAGCTTGGATCATAGTTCTTAAATTGCAAAAGACTATTTGATCTCATTTTTGCTAGAGTAGATCTTGAGATCTCAATGTCATCATCGTTGTTGGCGGTGGTGAAGGCCATCTTCAAATCGGCGGCGACATAGGTGATAATAAAGAGGTCGGAGAAGGTGAAGAGATGGTGGTGGTCAATGGTGCAAAACCCTAAGAGAGAGAGAGAGTGTGTGTGTGTGTGTAGGTGTGGGGAAATTAGAGTTTAGGAGAGAACCAATAGGTATGTATATATAGCATGGGTAGTTTTGTCATTTGGTCTAAGTATGCCCTTATAGACAAAATATTTCAGCGTATGGATTTTTGAACAAAAATTTAAATTTGGATTTATGGACCGGGTGTCCTATATATTATATACACAAACAAAATCTTACCCTTTTTTTTTATTCTTACTTATAAATTATAAAGACTACCATAGCGTCATCTCTCTTACATTATATAAATTATTTATTTCGATGTTATTAATGATTTTCTAAAAAAAATTGTAAATAGAGTCTAATTTTAATAAATTAATATTTTAGCTGCACACACACACAAAACTGAAATTTATGCACTTCGGGTAACTCGGGTAATTTAGATTTAAGGTCAGGCTAAGGAAGTCTCGGGTTATAATTCGGGCTTGGGCAGATCTCAGCACAACTTGAATTAAATTTGGACAACCTCATGATCCAACCAAACTCGCCCAAGTTGCACCCCCTATATATGAAAGGGGACAATGATGGGCAATTTAGGACCGTTAATTCCATTTGCTTGAAACTTTATGTGGGTAGTTTTGAGTGATTCTACATATATCACTATTTTACCTTTTCACACCCTTCATATAAGATTCCCCCCCCCTCCCCCAGTTTACCCATGTGTGAAATTGCTTTTAAGGACAAAAGACTAAAATTAAATGTATTTTATTATCTCTTTACACTCATTGCTCTTGCTCTTCTTCCATTCTTGTTTTTTTTTTTCTCTACGACATATCTCTTTTCTAAAAGTAAGGATCAATAGTGTTTTGATCATAAAAGAAAGCAATGGATGAAAAAACAATGGTAAAGATCCATAAAGAATAAAAATAAAAAATAAATAAAAAAAACACACACACACACACACACAATGAAATGTCGAGTTTTTTTTATTTGTTTGGTAAGTTTTCATTTTGTTTTTTGAGAGAGTTTTTCGATGTTTGTTTAGTGTGTCAAAATCAAACAAAATAAAATAGTCCGAAATCACATTGTCGAACAAAAAATATATGCCCAGTAACCCACTGCCAATAAAAAATACATTTTCGGCATCTCAAGGCCGAACATTTTTAATTTATTCGGTTACTCATGTTTTAGTTTCATTATATATATATATACATTTATTTATTTATTTATTTATTTTGCTTGGAAGAATTATACTTCTCTTTATTGCAGCAGTGCAAGTGCAATCGTCTTGCTGCTGAACATCTTGAAGGGCATTTATTTACTGGTAGATTATCTGAGGAGAAAACATTATTTTTGATTGATATGTTAAAAAGTATGATGCGACCAAAAGAGATATTGATTACATTAAAACGGAGAGATATCTTTAATGCGACAATAATGAAGACAATCTTCAATGCACGTAAAGCGACAAATGGCTGGACAAATTTATTTTAGTTCGACAACATGATATTGGAGTAATCTAATTTGTATAGCAATATATCACTGAACAAGGACTTCACAAATGCGCTCCAATTAATTTATTGTTAAAGTAAAATAAAATCATTCAATCAAACGGCAACAAATGATTGAAAAAAAATTAATTTGTCTAGTAATACGGTACTGGAATAGTTTAAATTTTTTATCATTGTATTACCAAAAGCTATTGGTATAAAAAAGACAAAACTGAAAGGATTTTGAAAAGTTTTAGTTTATAATTAGTTTTAATAGTATAATAGATGTAATGAGAGTCATTTTTTTTTAATGGTGTAATGAGATGGAAGGTGTAAATAGATAAACTAATGGTGTAAGTAGAATTACTAGTAATTTTAATATTTAGAAGACACAAAAAATAATTCTATACATTTTAGTATCATAAATATGATATTATTATTATTTTTTTTATATATGATTAATAAATTTTTGATGAAAAATAAATAAATGATATATAAATTAAAGTTTAAAAAAATTTAATATAATTATTTTAAATTTATAAAATTTATTATATTTTTTTTAAAAAAAAATTTCGTGACCCGTGTAAGTTACCTAAAAAGGATATAAAAGTAGGAAAAAAGCAGATTAACTTTACAGCTTCTTTTTGGAGTGGGTAACTTTATAGTTGCTTCCCATTAGCATTTCGTACATACACAACAACGCAGGTCATGTATGGACAACATAGCGACAGCGTGCTATCAAGCGCATCAGTCATCTCTGACACAGTTGTTGTGGTGGTCTGTCGGCAAATTCACATGACGCCTCTATTTCGTATTTATTAGGTAAGAGTTGGTTGAAAATGTTTTAAATAAGTGTATTTTTTAATTTTTTATAAAATGTGTTAGGTATGGATTAGGTTTAAAATAATGTGATAGAGAGATTTAAATAAAATGATATTACTTAAATAAAACAACTCATATCAAAAAGTCAAAGATTCTCTTTTCTATCTACTTTTTGCAAACATACAAGTTTTTTTTACTTACCTTTTTAGCCAAATAGTCAAAAAGTTACTAAATTAGCCTGTTCCCAAACGAGGTTTTAAATAAGATGACGTTACTTAAATAGAATAGTGATTTTTTGATCTTTTAATTTTTTTAAATTATGACAAACAAGATCTAAAATTGTCAAATTCAGTTTTTTTTTAATTAAAATTAAAAAAATAAAATTGATAAGTATCAAGTAATAAATAGTAATGAGATTTCTTAATGTGTCAACTTAATATTTAATAGATTATACGATAATTAATAATATTTTTCATCAAATATTATTAAAAATGTTACCAATTATTAATTTTCAGTAATAATTTAAAAATTATAATAAAAATTATCACTAATTATAAGTTTTAGTGACTGTTTTAAAACAATCGTCACAAAAAAATGCTAATTTTCAATTTTTAGTAACAATTTAAAAAAAAATGTCACTGATTGTAAACTTTGGCAACAATTTATAAAAATTGAAACAAAGAGTCATTAATTGTTAATTTTTAACATATGCTAAAAATCGTCACAAAAAATTATTTTTAACGATAATTTTACTAGAACTTATTTTCAATAGGACATAATGGGAATTAAATCCAACTATTAGAACATATTGATAGTTTATCCTAAATAGTATATAACAATATTCTATAACCACCACCGGGGGTGGTGACTTAATAGAGAAGGCATCCCTCTTCACAGGCGTGATCCAAGTTCAATTTTTGAGAGAGTCGAATTCTGCTGCTTTGCAATTGGCTCTCTTTTGAAACCTTACCTGTACTTCCCTTGAAGCATGGGTTTGTACGTGGTATATTGGGCTGAGTTAAATCAGGTTAACAACGGGCTATCTCGAGATCTGAGCCACGAATTTAGTGATGACATATTAAAACATACAATTTTTTTTTTAGTGTTCAAAAAAAAAAATTTCCTATGACCACCCAATAATCACTTGTCAGTCTGACATCATCAGCTAGTGCTCACCCGTTACCTACATGTTTTTTTTAGCTGTTTTATTGCAGATAGCAAATTTGGAAAACTATTTTTGAATTTTGGAAGAAAAAAAAATTCACACGAAATGAAAACGATTTTTGAACGTTTAATTGTTTTTGTTTTTGAAGATAAATAAATAAATAAACATGACCAAATTGGAGTGACTGAATTCAATTGGCATAAAATAGTGATTGTATTCAATCTTCAGCCTGGGCCAAAAGTAAATAAATAAATAAACTCAATTGGCAAATACCAGCACACCATGCAGCTAACTGTGTACTGCAAGGAGGTCCAGAGCTTCTTGACTCTTGATGAAGGCAAAGTAATAGAATAAATGCCCATTTCGTCTTCCCAACAAGAAGTCATTTTTCTTCATTTGCAAACAAGTCATAGTCATGTTGGCTGCAATATTCAAGCAAAAATGTACACTACAGCTGGTTTTGCCATAATGCCATTGAACAATAGCTGGTCTAACTGTTTTAGGGATATACCTATATAAGGTTGCTGCATTCCATTGTGGAAAATTTTGTGGAATGAGGCTCCTAAGCCACTGTTTCAAGCATCACAACTTCAAATTAGATTGATAATGGCGCTATATTACTACTTACTTTGCTTTCCACATAATTAGTCAAGCTGCCTTTCTAATCTTGAACGTGCAGTTTCCCACAATATCCAGATTGTGACCCGGCGTCGTGCAGTTGAAACACATAAACAATCCCACGGTGGGCATGCAGGGGGTAAGATTGCGCACATCTGACCCATTCCAAACCCCAGAGGGACATTGGGCTGCCCAGTCATAAAGAAGCAACAACTTCTCACCGTAAAATGGGATCTTCTAGATGCATTCCAAGGAAGCTGTTGGATTAATAGTCTCACATTAAAAGATTCTTGCTCTTTTAAAAAATGCCATGTAAGAATCTACTCTCCATAGAAATATGCTGACCTGAAGCTCAATCATCTCATTATCAAGAATAAATACAAGTCAAACAAAATATTCTATTAAAACATTCTATATCAAGACTTCAACTAATTTAAAAATTAAAAATAAAATAAAATAAAATAATTTAAAAAGAAGTTGACCTCATTTTTTTCCTTTCCTGAATTATGTCTTTAGTACACTTGTTTAGGACAAAAACACATTCTTTCAATTTATGTATTCTTTCTGCAAGTACAAGCATCAAACCTGAGGTTTGTGTGCTTCAATCTATCTCCCAGAACTAGGGATGCATGGGGTTACGCTTTTCGACCATAGGAAGTTATTCTGTGTCCCATCCCGAAATGTTAGCAGTAGCTTCATTGACCATCTTTACAAGTGTAACCTGCCAATATGACGAGTTAACGGAATACTAAGATAAATTGAAAGAGAGAAAACAAGTACTTTCAAACGAAAATCCATTTATTAGAAAGCATGCCAACAGAGATTTAAACAGCTAGAGAGAAGACCATTATGATCCAATGAAGTATAAATATTAGTCAGAAATACAATCAAGAATCAACCTTTTGTTAGTTATTGTAAAATTCCTTCATTCTTATTCTGACAGAGGTGGTTGTAGTGTTAACAACAAAGCTATGAAGGCTAAAAATACTAGAGCTTCAGTAAAAAAAGGACAGCTGTCATTTGTACACTGGAATTTTTAACTGTCACAATGAATATTAAAAAAAAAAAAAAAACTAATGCCTGACTGGGAAAAGAAAGCTTAATATTATGCACCAAGTAGGAAAAAATATAGTTGTCACATACATGCACACACAGAAAAGCACGAGGGAATATTTAACTTTGAAAAGGATTACATGTTCACGAGTGATACAACAGAATAAGGCCTACCAATATATTCCAAGTGTGTGATATTAACTTAGGAAAGTGATATTACACAAATCAAACCCAATTATTAGAAATGTGTCTTACAGATTACATGCATTCATATATATACAATATTTTTTTTTTTTCTAGCAGTGTGGGTTGTTGAGTGTTACAGATAGGGGAGTTAGGGAGTGGGTTGTGGACATGACTGCATGTTCTTGTCACATGTGACCCTCTGTTATATGTCTGGAGTTCGAATAGAGGCAGATTCCCCTTTGTTTAGCCAATGTGATGAGCATATTATGATTATTATTTATATGTTCTGTTCAGATATAAGAAGTTTATTGACTTCATAAGATATACCATATTTGAAATGATACAAGGAGTGAAAGCTCTGATCCGTTTATGTTAAACTCAGTATCCATTAATTTTTTCCGGTTACTGGTTATGTCCTTGGTAAATAAAACTGCTCCAGTCACTGAGCTTGTGAGCTCACTATAATTCTTAATGTTTTCAGGTGGGAGGCATGGTTAGGAAGAAGGTACTTTTTATGCATTTAAATGAAGGCTTTTGTGTTTGAAAGAGAGAGTTAGTGTAACACACGCATGAGACTTATTTTGTCTCTCTTTTGGATGACTGTACACGGACATGTGAATGTAATATTCTATGCAACTTTGGTTATGATATGCACTTTGGGAATGAGAATCTGCCTATGCTCTTGCTCTGATGTGATAAACAAACCCTCACGCACAGGTTATGAGGTGTGCTTCCACTACAATCTTAATAATCAACTAACAAAAGAGAGAGAACCCTAATTACTCTCCTCCTCCTCTTTCCAGCTTCTCTCTCCTCTTGTTTCTTTCCTTCTCTTTCTCGTCCCTCATTTTTGTTCATGCACAAAATTCAACTTCGTATCATAACCATGTTGCATTCTGAACTCTCATGCTTGTAGAACAGAGTTGCTCACTGGTTCAAATAAATAAATAAATAAATTCACTATGATCAACTGATCCTTCTATTTCTCTCTATTATTTCTCAAAATTTTCTAAAATAATTTAGTCTGATTTCCTATTTTTCTTTATTTTTGGAAAGTACGCTATTTTCTTGGAAACAAGAGCCCCAGGTAATTTAGGGTTTTGATTACATATGAAAAAGGACTATACGGTGCCAACCAGATGACTAGTAGGCTACCCAACGATTTACAACAAGTTTTGAACAGTTTTGGCACAAAATAGTGACTCGGCTGGGCAAAACAGAGGTGTCTGCCATTTTTTGCAGTAAAATAGAAGCTTTGCTGACAGAATTAACAATCCGTTTGGATTGAGTGGTTTAAAGAGAGAAGAAAAGAAAACAATTTCTCTTGGTCCTAATAACTTGTTTGGATTACTAAAGATGACAGAAATGAGGAGAAATGAAAAGAAAGGGAGAGATTGATTTCTCTTATAACCCACTTTCTGAATATCTCTCTGCAATTTGGAGAGATTGAGAGAGAAAAAATTGAAAGACTACCAATTTTATATAATACCAAACTTGTCAATCTAGATACTAAAAAAATAAAAACATGAAAGGTTATTTTGGTAATGTAACAGGTAAGAGTTTCTTTTTTATTTTTATTTTATTTTATATGGTCTATCTAAACAAGATTTGAGAGAAATTGCTATATTTTCTTTTCTTTTCTCTCCAGCTCAACCAAACAAGAGGGAGAGAAATCACAATCTTTTCTCTTCTTTTTTCTCCTAACTCAACAATCTTTTTTTGTTTCTTTCCTTCTCTTCTAGATATCTAAACATAGTGTGACACTTGTTTTGGCTTTTGGGTTTTTTCTACGGCGTAATTCATGCCTAAAATGGTTTGAATGCCACTGACATTTTTTCCAGCAACTTGTTTCTTTCTTTTGTCCTGTGCTGGGGCTTTGCCTTAGTTGTATTTTTTTCCCTTTACTAGTTGTGTTTTGGAGTAGTTTGAGGTGTGTTTGACTGTATTTCAAGATATCGGAAGCAAGTGGGGTCACAACTGTGAAACTGGATGGACACAACTACCTACCTTGGTCTCAGTCTGCAATGTTTTTATTAAGAACACTAAAGGAATGATGGGTCATTTAAATGGGAAGTTTAAAGCAGCACTAGGGGATGATCTTTCATTTGGGCAGTGGAATGAAGACAATATCATAGTTATGTGTTGGCTGTTGCATTCAACACAATGAGAAATCAACAGTGTTTATATGTTTCTGAAAACATCCAAGGAGACTTGGGATGCAGTAACAAAGACTTGCACAAAAGTGGAAAATAGCACAAATTTATGATGTAAGCCGTCAGAGTCATAATACACACCACTCAGGTTGATATGTCTCTTCCACCTACTTTCCTACTCTTCAGAGACTGTCAAGAGTTGGATCTCTATCAAAATTTCTAAGCTGTATGTTCAATAGATGCTTCAAAGTTTCGTTAGACAGTTGAGCAATAGCGTATCTTTGAGTTTCTGACTGGTCTTAATTCCAAGTATGATAACCTCTGTGTTCAGATCTTAGGTAAGGAGCCACTTCCTTTTCTTATGGTTGTGTATGTTTGCGTTCAGGGTGAAAAGTTTGAGTGGTGTGATCGTGCATCCTGCTATCCGAAAGAGATCGGCTACAACTTCTCAGTGAGATAATGGCGGGGTCAGAAAAGCCATGATGGTGGCCAGACTGTGGATTCATCCTCCGACAACAAGGACAAACTATTCTGTGCTTTTCATTTTTTTTTTTTGCAACAAGCCTCACCATACTAGAGAGAATTGTTGGAAACTCACAGGTCATGGTCCATCTAGGGGAAAAGAAGGTTGCACATGTAATAATCCTTGTTCTCATGCCCTTCAATTCTACTGCAGTTGGACCTACTGGTAGTAACAAAGTTACACCCAGTACGTCAGTTCCAAAAGGGAAGGCTCTCACTAAGGTTGAGATTGAGACTTTGGGATGTCTTATGAATCAACTGGGTACATCCACTACTGCTTCCACCTCTAAAACTCTCACTCAGAAAACTTTGTTGCTTCCTTTGGTTCATCTAGTAATACTTTCCAAACCCCATGGATCATTGATTCTAAAGCACCAGGTCATATGACTAGTTGTTCTGCTACCTTCTTTTCTTCTTATCACACTCGTTCTAGCAAAGACACAGTTATTGATAGCTCTGTCCACTATCTCAGGGAAAGGTCATGTTTCTATTACTCTATCCATTTCCCTTTTTTGTATTTTACGCTTTTCTAATTTTTCAACTAACCTGCTCTCCATCAGTGGTATCACTACAGATTTGAATTGTAATGTAACCTTCTTTCCTTATCATCGTGATTCGTGACACAAGGAAGATGCTTGGCAATGATGAAAGATGGTCTTCACTTTCTGGATTCACCCCTATAATAACAGGGATGACTTCATCATTCTGGGAGTAGTGATTTGTTTGAAGAGCATCTTTGGCTACAGCACCGACGTTTGGGACATCCTCTTTTTATTTAATTCAACGCATTTCTCATATCAACATTATGTGTTTTGTATGTTATGTTTTATATTTAGTCCAAGTGGTATTCATGTACTATGGATCTTACTAATGTAAGTGTCTAAGAGGAGAACCCTAATTCTAAATGGGTATTTATCATTAACCGTATACTTAGTGTTCTCTTCTCACTCTTCTTCTTCTACTCTATTTCTTCTTTATATTGTGAATCTAACATGGGATCATAGCATAATCTTCATCCTTGAAGACTCGGTTACTAGTATTGCACTCTTTATCATTTTTTCAGTATTTTACGTAGCAGTAAAAATAAATAAATAAATTACATATATAAAAATACCAGCATGAGTGACTAGGAGTTTACATCCTTTGTGTTATTGTATAACATATGCATATTTTTAATTTATGTTAGAATGCATTAAGCTGATATGTGAAATGCTTTAAAATATGCTTTTGGGAATCCTTAAAACATGGTTTAGAGACATTATACTGCAGATGGAAAGATACACCTATACGCCTTGATATGAAATGACCAAAGTCTTGAATCGTTGTATATGTGCTTCTTTGATATGAAATAAATTAGAATTTAGAGGTACAAGATTTACAAGTTTTCTTCTCAACATACTATGCTAATATTTACTTTCAAATAATGTGACAGACAATTTCATATTTTTTTTTTGAAAAACTTAATTGGGAATAAGTAATTAAATTTGTTAATTAAGCATTATGATAATTTGTTAACTTAAGAACAATTCGAGACTTAACCTAATTTATTATTTAATAGGCTAAATACATGATTAGTTGGTATGAAGTAGTGATACAGAATGGTTATTAAGAAATCTGTTCAACTATCTAATTGATCCCAAAATGAGAATATATGAAGAATTAATCTAAAAGGAAATATCAAAAGTTGTAAGAGTAAGAATAGAGAAAAACACAAGGGTCCAAATCCTAATCTTACAAAAATGGCCACAACCTTATACTCAATTATCAATATTTCAAAGCTAACTATTACAAATCAAAACCTAATATT